GGCCTTTGGGGAGGTGGAAAGTCAGCCACTGCCTGGGGCTATCTAGCAGGAGCTATGAAGCTATCAGCAGATGGCTGCTATTTGTAATGGGCTTGGAAATGTCCAGGTGAGGCAGGCTAGTGCTAGTGCTGGGTCTTGGGCCTCTTATTGATAGGTATGGGGCATGCTGATACCAGCTGCTATTTGTTTAAGATATTTTAGGAAAGTCTAAAGCCTGATCCAGGACAGCCAGTCATAAAGAAAAGCCTCTGCAAACAGGGTCGGGCTACAAGTTCAATGGGGCGGGGGGTCTCAGAGAATCACCATGTAGAGCAAATAGTGTAAGCCATGTTGATAGAAACTCAGATATGGCTGTGAGTCAGCTCTGCGACTGGGGAAGATCCCAGCACAGGAACAATGACCCCTATGAGCACCCATGTCTGGGAGAAAGCCACCCCTGAGATTCTGTCCTGATGCTAAACAATCCAGTACATCTAGTATGTCCCTGGTACCCCCAATGCTGTCCCCCAGAACTGGAGCTCCGAAGGAGAGAGGAACCATATAAGTTCGTGCACCAGCCCTTTAAGAGGAACTCCCTGGGTCTCCAGTGACCTCTGTATAACTCAGCCCCAATCCCCCCTGGTTTTTACAACCCAAAGTTATTGGGACTTCTCTTCCAAGCTATGGAACTCTGGGCTAGGGGCTAGGGCTGGGAACCTACAGCACTAAATCCTTCCCGATTATAGTAACGCCATATGTTGAACCAGTCCACTCCGCCCTTCTGCCCCTCCTATCAGTCTCTACGTAGTTTCTTTTTTACTTCTCTAGTTGCAGGCCCTGCACTTCTGATGGTTCTGGATGGTGGTTGTCTGTATTTTAGTTGTAATTTTGATGTAGTTGTGGAAGTTTACCTACGCAGCCATCTTGGTTCTAAACAGCTTATTTTAATGGAACGACTTGGATTCCAGCATGTATAGGACTCATTCCCTAAGAAACAGAAAGGGAGCTGGTATTAAATATGTGCTGTGTAAAATGAAGCCTGTGGTATCAGCATCACCTACAGGTTATGTCTGGCACCACCCTCTGGCTCCAGGGCAGCGTGAGTGACTCAGAGATCACAGCCAAGATAAATACCTCCTAGGCCTGAACCCCAGTGAGCACTTCTACCTCAACAGGAGCTAGCAGAGTGCCTGGCGGGTGCTCTCCACACTCATGTTTTATCTCGCCTGATTTTCTCAAGAAGGTTGTGGGTAGGGTCTTTTAATACCCTTGCAAACCAAAGTGGAAAATTGAACTTGGAGATACCACAGAAGATATCCACACTTTTTGCATTTACCAAGAGCCAGAGCTGGAAAGGGAACCCACATCTGTCAGACACCAAACCTAAACTCCTAATCACAATCACTGTGCTGCTAAAACTACTGAAACTCCCAAGGCCTTTACATTTTACAGCTGTGCACAATAGGTCACACCAGGCCCTTTGTCTCTGAATAAGTCCCGTAACCTCCCTGACATCAGTTTCCTTCCTCTTGAAAGTTATTGTGTCCTGTTCAACCTCACTCATGAGGCTCAAATAAGGTAATACATTGAACATTGTAAAAATAAACTCTAAATGTTGACTTAGGCAGATTATTTTTGATGACAGGGAGAGAAACAGGTCATCCCTGATGCTGTTTGGTGTCCTATAGAAACTGCAGAACAGCCATCCGTGGGTCATTGGCATGGCTAAGCTGTAGGATAGCTCTAGAGAGAAGGCAGCTGGGTTCTGAATTGAGATTCGTCCCCATGTCAGTAGGCAGACTGCTGCTGTGGGCAAGGTGATAATAAATGAATGCATCACCACCTTCACTTGGGAACCTGGTATTTTGTTGGAAGGATTTATTCTATTTTTATTTCCCATGAATCCCAAAACCCTAGTAGCACTGTAGGCTTCAGCTACAGCTCACCATTTGTGACTAGACTGAACTGAACAACCCCAAGAGGGAAACTTTTTCTCCCTTCACCCAGCTGCCTGAACAAGCATGGTTTGGGGTAACTGTACTTGCCTGGGTTGAGTGGTTTCATCAGATCAGTGACTTTCCCAATATTTACTGCTCACGTCTGCCATCTAGTGGACAGTGCTCACTTTTTATTTCTGACCATTTCAAAATATGCTTACATTTATTAAACAAAAAGCAGCAGTTACTCTTACAATCTGTTAAGGCATGTAAATCTGGTATTATGATTTCCACGTAATAATGAGAAAAGAAACGCTTGGAAAAAGGAAGGAACCTGCATGTTCCGGGAACTACATTTAGGAATTTTTCCCTCCATTCAGCAAAAACTCAAAATACTTTAGTCTTGAGCCATTGGATTTGAGCCCAGCCATAGGCCCTGGCTCAGTAGCTATCACCAAGTTCGGTCCTCTCACAGAACTGAATTTGATCACTAAAATATTAGTTTAAATATTTGCATTTGGTAAAACTATTCTGTGCAATGAAAGTGCTGAAGTACTTCCAGAAGGAAAAGTGATGGCTGATATACCATTTCAACTGTGTGTGTGTGAGTGTGTGTGTGTGTGTGTGTGTGTGTGTGTGTGTGTGAATGTGTGTGTGAATGGTTATAGGTTGTTGAAATTCCCCAAAACTGGGTTTAGTAAAAATGTGAAAATATAGGCAGTGGGAATCTCCTCAGACTCCTTCGAATATAACCACCTACCATTTTATAATACGTGTACTTGGCTTTGAAGTTCTCTGGATGCCTGGGCATCTTCCACTGGGAGGAGAGTATGCCCTCCAGGGCACAGGTGATTGAGCTCAACCCCAATAAGACTGCTATTCAGTAGATGTGTAACCTCAGGCGAATCTTGTAACCTCCCTATGTCTCATCTTCACAGGGAAAAAGAGAAAAAAAGTAGTATTCCCTGCAAGGTGCTGTGAAGATTCAGCCACACAGCTTCCGGAAGGCACTCAGCACCCAGCCTGCCACTGTAAGACCTGAGTGGGTATCACCTGTCTTTATGTTGCTAACAAGCACACGTGGTGCGTGTGCTGAGGGATGCAGCAGTGAGACATAGGGTGCATGCTGGGGGCAGCAGAGTGGCTGTTTACTTTTAAAATGCTCTCCTAGTGGTGGTTCTCAACCCAGCGGCTGCTCTGCAAGCACCTCTCCAAAAGAAGCAAAGGGGTTTGTGCTGCAAATGCATGTGGGCATGTGGGTTCTCCAATGAAAGGAAACAGGATTAGCATATGGGGGAACTGGGTGTAGAGCAAAGTACTGTCCTACCCAATTAAGAACTGTTCTTTAATAGACATTCCTCTAAAGAAGATGTACAAATGGCCACTGAGCATAAGGAAAGATGTTCTACCTTACTATTAGGGAAATGCAAATCAAAATCACAGTAAGTTAAGACCTCACACCATCAGGATGGCTATTATTTAAAAAAACAACACAGAAAATAAGTGTTGGCAAGAATGCGGAGGAATTGGGAACTTTATCCAACGTTGGTGGGAATATAAATTGGTGCAGTTGCTATGGAAATCAGTATGGCAGCTTCTCAGGTTAAACATAGAATTAAACATTCTCCAGCAATACCACTTCTGGGTATACACCCAAGACGACTGAAAGCAGGGGCTTGTATAGATACTTATAAACCCATGTTCATAGTAGCATTATTTACAATAGCAAAAGGTAAAATTGACCCAAGTATCCATTGATGAAGGAATGGATAAACAGGCCGTGGTTTATAAATAAATATTATTTAGCCTTAAAAAGCAAGGACATTTTTACACATGTTGCAACATGGATTAATCTTGAGGATATTATATTAAGTGAAATAAGCCAGTCACACAATAACAAATACAGGGCAGGGCAAAAGTAGGAATATAATTGTGAGTACATAAAATACGAAGTTTATTTTCATATTATTATTTGTTAAATTATTGTATTATTTTCCACACAAAAAAAATCTGTAAATTTGCTTTTGCCCCACCCTGTACTGTTTGATTCCATTTATATGAAGTACCTACAGCAGTGAAATTCATAGAGATAGAAGGTAGAAAGGTAGTTACTAAGGTCTAGAGCAGTGGTTCTGAACCTTTCTAATGCCACGACTCTTTAATACAGTTCCTCATGTTGTGGTAAACCCCAACCATAAAATTATTTTTGTTGCTACTTCATAACTGTAATTTTGCTATTGTTATGAACTGTAATGTAAATATTTTTGTTTTCTAACGGTCTTAGGCTGTACAGCAGCGGTTCTCAACGTCACTATGCCAGGGTCATAGGTAGAGATTCACAGGTTGAGAACTGCTGCTGTAGGGCCTAAGACCATCGGAAAACACAGATATTTACATTACAATTCATTAACAGTAGCAAAATTACAGTTATGAAGTAGCAACAAAAATAATTTTATGGTTGGGGGTCACCACAACATGAGGAACTGTATTAAAGGGTCTTGGCATTAGAAAGGTTGAGAACCACCGGTCTAGAGAGAGGAGGAATGAATTAAATGTTTAATGGGTACAGAGTTTCAGTTTTATAAGATGAAAAAAATTCTGAAGATAGTGGAAATAATATAAATTCACTCCATACCAGCGAACTGTACATGTGTCAATGGTTATGATAGTGAATTTTATGTGTATTGCACAATTAAAAAAATGTGTCCCGCCCTAAGTCCAATAGCATCTCTTTGAGAGATGCTGCTAGAAATTCTAAAAATGCATTTGATTATAAGTTCATTCATACTAGTGAGACCTAAGATAACAAGAGCATTAGTCATACTTATCTAGGTTTCCTCTTTGTGCCAGTTGCTAGGTTAAGGAGGCCCCTAAGATCAGGTTAAAGAGCACCTTAAGGGCCAAAACCACAGTGCTGGGATCAAGAGTCACACTATTAAACTGGCAGCTCTAGTTTCATAAAGTTGTCATTTATTTATAGTAATTAATTTATGTTACTCCTACTAAGCCTTAAGATCACATGAGAGACAACTTGGGCTTTCCAGCTTCAAAAGATACTTTCAGATTCCAATGGGAAACTCTTACCTTGTAGATACAGGACTTAGCGTTCAGAAAGAAGAGCTCAATGGTGGCATTATCTTTTAGGTATGAAATGCTCTCTATGTAGAACCTGGAAGAGAAAAACCGCAGATGAATCACAGAAGTACCAACCATGCACATAATATACCGTTCTCGGAGCTACAGGATTTCACATGAGGACCAGTGCTCCCACTACTAAATGAACACAAGAAAAAAGAGTGATCGGTTGTTTTCATATGATTCCATTTCTAGGACCATCATGCCTGATACCTTTATTGTGGCAAAAAACTACCGTAGGCCTGTTATCAACTTCTTACACTCGACCATCTATTATACTTTCTTTTTCCTTACCTGCTTTACATTTAAAAAAAAACACACATTTGTTTTCAATACAGTACATATTTTCTCTAATCATTGTTGAGCTGGATTTTCAAAAGATAGTTTCTTCTGCTTAATCAAACCAGGGGCAATATTTCTCTGAGAAATGGTTATGACTGGTCTTCCCAAAGGTGGTGAAGTGTGGTCTGATTTCTGCACATGCAGAGGACTGTGATATGTGTAATGCTGTAATATTAATACATATTAAGCCACATGAGAATTGAATTTTTATCTAGATGAAGCTCATGGATTTTTTTCAGATTGAAACATGCTGAAAATATTGAAGTTTACATTAAGTGCACCTTTACACATTGACTTTGGAGTTTATTAAATCTCTTAATTAGATAAGGATCAGCTGCACTAAGAGAGTAGGCGCTGTGATGAGAGGGGGAAAAGGAGATGGTTGAAATGCAGAGAGTTTGAGGAGGAGAAGCTCAGAAATGGGTGTGACAACTCTTGGTGGGGCCTGGATACTTGCTGCACAGAAACTGGGGATACCAAGAGTAGACTGCAGGTGCAAAGAGAAGAAGCAAATGGTATAATGCTATAGAACAGCATTATAAGACGATAGAAAGGATCCTAGGGAAGAAGTCAAGAGGCCAGTGTCTGGTCCCAGCTCAGTGTGATTTAGGACAAGTAACATCATCTCTCTGGGCTTCCTTCCCAGATTGAAATAGGAGATAGCAGGACTTGGACGGCAGTTCTACATCTAAGAAATATACTACTTTTAGGTACAGGAAACTAATTCAGATTAAAACAATAACAACAGAAAAAACAATAAACCAACATTATATAAGGCAAACAAAACATGTCCATATGCTAAGTCAAGTCCATGGTCCACCAGTTAGCAATCTTTTGTCTACAGACTGACTAAATAATCTGTCCTAACATTTTTTCAAATGTGCGAGGAGGCTGTTGTAATACATTACAGATTCGTTTAAATTTAAATTTACTTAAAGTATTAGCAGATATTTCCAATCAACAGATATCAATGCAATTACCATCACGTAAGAGTCTATAGAGTTTTTGGAAATCACTTTATGGCCCCCATTCTTGCAAAGCCTGGGAATAAGAAGGCTGGTTGACCTCTCCCACACCTCCTCTCCTGCAAAAGTAAGTGAATGAGTGAATGAATGAATGACCGAAGGCATTTGCCTCCCAGAGCAGGTGCCGTAGGATGTGGATGCCTCCACGTAGCATCTGTGGTGGTGGTCTCAGAAGAACTGTCCAGTTGTATAACTTTCAGTTCCCTAATAATGGAGACTTGCGAATCAGCAGCAAAATTTACATCTCAAAGCAAAATAAGTTAAAATTGATTTAATTAAAATCTACATCCACTGTAAAGAACTTTTGAAAATGGGTAGTTAGAATAGCAAAGTGGAAAAGGAAAGAAGGGAGGGGAAAACCCAGGGCAGTAAAGGGACAGGAGAGGAGGGAAGGAGGGGATTAGAGGGAAGAAGGAAATGAGGAGGAAGAAGAAGGCCAGTTCAGCTAGGCGACTTGCAAGTGTGGCTATTACAGATGTAACTTGCATTTGCCTTTGTTCAAGCTATTCCCCTTACTGCCCCCCAAACAATCCCCGATACCCTAACTCACTCCAGCCCTTGGCTAGGACCATCACCCATTTGATCTGATTCCTCTCTTTCCCCATAGAAGCCTCCTTTCCCAGGACACCCTCTGCCTGTGGCACTGCCTCAGGGTCTGTAATTTTTTGTTCTCTGGGAAGTTCCCTAAGGAGGCTGCTGTTGTTCCTTCCTGGTCCTAGTGCCTCTCCAGCACCACTATAGAGCCTGGCATGAACCTGAGTTCACTATGTATCTGTGAATGAAACTTTCCACTCACTGTTGTGGGGTCGAACTCTGGGTTCAGAATAAGACTACCAGAGGCTGATGAATAATTTAAAAAAGCAGGCAAAGAATTTCTTGAAATATCTGGCCAGGACAGACGCGAGAGCACCACATGCAGGTGGTCTCCACAGGACTGCAGGGTTTCAGGGGTAGGAAGTCCCTTTTAAAGGTTCAAACCACAGGAATTTTCCTTTGTTCTAAATTCTAAATCTTAAAGACTACATTCTAAAGACTGTCAGCTCACAGGGTCATTACTAGTCACATCCTGCTGGACATTGGAATGTGACCCTATCTTGCAATAGCCAATAACACAGAAGCAGAGCTCAGAGGTTATCTACAGTTTCTATCTCTGAAGATTACTGAGTTAGTGGGAATTACTCTCCTGTGCTCCTGGTCCCAGGCAAGGGAAAATTGCCTTAGCCTCTAAGTCTCCACCTGAAAGCTAAGGTAAATAGCTCCCCCCCCCCCCCCCCCCGCCATGTTTAATCAGGTGCAAGAGCCAAACTAGAAGGGTTAAAATTCAAACAGTAGTTTTTACCAAAGAATGGTTGCCACTATATTTCACTCACCACTGGCTGGAGTTCCACTGGACAGTGAAATAGGCAATGAAGGCAATGCAGAAAGGAGAAGAAACACATGGCTTCCCAGATGTCACAAAACTCTAGGTTACGGGATTTTATATTCCACATCCAGCTCTTGCCCCTGCCCCTCTCTCACTGTTAACATGGAAAGTTGTTCAGAGAGAGCTGCTGTCCGTCTTGACTCTTAAAGTCAAACAATAGCAAAGGTCTCTTGAGTTCAACAGCCAGTGAGCTGAGCTCTATAATAATTGTGAGTCTAAACCTGTTGGGTCTGAAGTAACTTCATTTCGAAGCAATGCCTCATAGCTTTGCATTTGCTTTCATTCTTGAGAATTTAGGAATGAAGACATTCTGTTTCTCCAGCCCCAATTCTCTCATCAGTATATTAAGGAGACATAACAATTCCATTTTCAACTCTCTAATAATGGAAAACTGAAATGAGAGGGCAAATTCTACATTTTTATTTTTGCAACAACACTCATGTCCACCGAGTTCTGTGTTGCCTGGCTGTCCAGGAGGCAGGAAGGTAGAGGAAATAACAAGCATATTCTCACATGAAGAAAGCAATTCATCTTCTCTTGACACAAACTGTAAAACAGTTTCCTGCTAACCTTTATCACCAAGAAACAGCCTGGAAAACCCTGTAAGTTCCAGGCCCATCACATTATTATTCTATAACCGGGGATATTCAACTCATCCTGAACTTTCCATCTGTGCTAGAGAGCTAGTGAGTCAAAATGCCTGGAGAGAAACAGGCTTCAGACATCTCAATGCCCACCCCGAGGCCCAACGCCCGTGGAGGAGAAACTTCTGGGGAAATGGCAAATGGTAATGGTTTCAGTTCACTGTAGAGATTTTTTATTTTCTTTCTCTCTTTTTTTTTAAACCAGTTCTGATTTATTTTTCTGAGAGCCTTGTCAAATGTACACCTTTTCGACAATAGGTGGCGATGTTGATTTCTCTAACTACCACTCTGTTCACAAAGAAAATTCCAGGTTTCTGGGGAAACTCCCCAAAATGAGCATTTTCTTTAGATTCAGAAAATCTGAATGGACAATTATGAGTCTGATTCTGTACTAACCATGGGTTAATACCCACATCTGGGGCCTCACTGACTCTGGAGGGTCTGCCCTCCCAGCATTAGCCTATTCTTAGAGGTAGTACAGGACTCACCTGGGAGCAAGCCTTTCATACACAAACCAACCCATTCAGAACCTACCCCCCTCTTATCTCCCCTCCAGGGCTCTCACTCAGGACCAGACCCACCCACCCTAATCCCTCCAGGGCAAGGAACCAACAATTTGGGACAGCCCCTTAGCCCCAGAGCCTCTGAAATTATTCAAAGTAGCCAATCCTCACCAATTCCTCCCCCAGAAACAGCAGAGGCTCTTGCCCCCAGTTCCCTGTCCACCTGGCCTGGTGTGTCTGTGCCTCTTGGGAACTCTGAGTAGCAAATTGCCTTTTCAATGGCAGCTGCCTCCTGGTCTATTGGCCTCACTGTACCAAACCATAACAAAACCTACATTTTAACAGATTCTTCAGCAAACTTGTCAGGACTGGGTCTTAGGGCTTCTTTTTGAAGTAAAGGAATACCGGCTAAGAGTGGTCTTTGGGCTCCATGAGCAATGCCACACAAAACCTGACCCCAACCAGGGATGTTTTATCACACTGTCTAAGGTAGGACTCAACAGGTGCTAGGTCATGTGTTTGCACACATTACTTACACAAGAGGCCCTGAAGTCATGGGAGCCTCTGACTGCAGTGGACCAAACACTGTGCAGCCCATGGCATCTGCCAGGTGCCCCCTCTGGCCCTTCACTCCTCTTCCCTCTCACATCCATCCCTCACACTGGGAACCACTGAGAATTTACAGCAAGTGTTAATTACGTGGAGCAGTGATTTTATTTTGTAATGACAGAAATGTCACATTTGGGAAGCTGATTTTTTGTAGCAGAAAGGAGCAACCACAATGAGAAGGGTAAGTGAGACTAAGTTTCTGTGACCAAATGTCTGACGGTTAGAATTTCAATGGCACAGAAATCTTAACTGGGACACCCAGTTGGGATCTAGCAAGTTCTGGTTGGCAAGCGCTTCATTTTACACCAATGTTGCTATGAGTGACAGTAAATAGTAATTGGTGTCTCCACCAGTCAGGAGAAACCCGGTCAGGCCATGAACTGCCTCTAAAATCCTTTCTCCCAAATTAAAGCTTCCTCTTCCTTTTTTTTCTATTGCCCATTCAGTTCATTGTTTATGAAAGTCTACATTTGAGGAGACAAATCTCA